GTCATTTTTTCGTATTTTGTGTTTTTCTCAATAAGGAATGATCTGTGTGACATTATTTATATATATTTGTAAAGGTAAGCAAAGGGGCTACAATTCTTGTTAATAAAGCTAAGTGAGAGGCTGTGTTTCTGGTACTGTGGGAAAATTGACCTGAAAAGGAAATTAGGGACAGTTTTATAGAGCATGCTGTTATATTTCTCAATGTGGTCACAAAATGTGACTAGCTACTTGTGGGTGTGGGCCAGTGCTTTGCATGGCATGTATGAGTCCTTCCCATGGACCTCCAATGCTGAAAATATGTAGAATAAGTTTTTCTTCAAAAAGGCATATTTTAACATTTTCATTAACAATAGATGCAAGCCACAGTAGCTTAAACCAAATTAGTGTAAAATAATGTTACAGTAACAATGTCTAAAAAATTGTAAAATCATTTGAAATTTATTTACAATTCTTTATAATCATTTGCTCCAAATTAATGTGGCTTGCATTCAATATTATAAAGATATAAATCTAGAATTCTATTTTAATGTTAAATTTATCAAGACAAAGTTCTAATTTAAAGTTATGAGTCCTTACGAGTTTACGAGTAAGACTCATTCTTTATCAACTGAGGACTTAGGCAAATTTTTCATTGATTGATTCATTCATTTACCTTTCATCACCGCGGGAAGCTTTTCCCTTAAACAGAAAAGCAGCCATAAAATCAGGAAAAATGGTAAAAGAAATCAGCAAAAAATATGTAAAAATCAGAATATTGCTTAGTAAGGTGGGGAGGCTTTGTTCAGGGTTCAGGGTCAATATCTAAATATAGAAACCACCTAAAAGTTGCCAGAAAATCAGAAAAAAATACCCCAAAATTAAGAGTGATCTTCTCTGTTGCCATGGTGTTGAAGGGGCTGTGTCCAGTATTCAGGGTCCATATCCAAATATGGAAATCAAGACAACCATGTAAAAATATTGTCATATCATGCAATGTGACTATATCTTGAGACCAGCTTTCTTGCTCTTTGAGATATTGGTCAAAAATGCATGACAATTTCCAAAAAGTGTCCAATTTTTTCAGTATTTTGTGTTTTTCTCAATGAGGAATGGTCTGCATGACATTATTTATATATATCTATAAAGGTAAGGAAAGGGGCTACAATTGTTGTTTATGGAGCTAAGTGAGAGGCTGTGCTTCTGATACCATGGGAATTTTAACCCAAAAAAGGAAATTCATCACAAATATATAGAGCATGCTATTATAGGTCACAAAATATAACTAACCATCCTCTTTCCTGAGATATATTCAAACAGGACTGTGGGAATATTTTACCATAAACAGAAAAATAGTTATAAAATTGGGAAAATTTGCTATAAAATGAAAAAAAAAAAAAAGAATAGCACACATTGTTGCTATGATATTGATGGCTAGGTTCAGAGCTCAGGGTCTATTTGCAAATATAGAACAAAACTCAGAAAATCATAAAGTGATTACATGACCAATTTCCTAATATTAAATTTAGAGTCCACAGAAAGGACTCATACATGCCATGCAAAGCACTGGCCCACACCCACAAGTCCTCACAAGCTCTCAGTGCCTCATTCTGGTCCGTTTGGCGTGCGCGTGGGTTCGTTCGGATACCCCCAAACTCCATGAAAATGGTCCACAAAACCGCTTTCAAAATGGTTAAGGCCTTGTGGAGGTAAGTCACTTTGTATATTCGCTTTTTTGCACATATGCTCACAAGCTCCAGTACCTTAATCTGGTCCATTTGGCATGCACATGGGCTCGTTTGGATACCCCCAGACTCCCTGAAAACGGTCCACCAAACCGTCTGTGAAATGGTTGAGGCCTCATGGAGGTAAGTCAAATTGTATATTTGCCTTTTTGAATTTATGCTCACAATCGCTCAGCACCTTAATCTCATCTGTTTGGCATGCATGTGGGCTTGTTCGGATACTCCCAAACTCCCTGAATATGATCAACAAAACTGTTTATGAAAAGGTTGAGGCCTTGGTTGATTGTTATACATTGAATATAAAGAAATATAATTGAATGGGGTTGATAATACTGTGGAAATGTTGAGGAAGCTTGCAAGAACAGGGCTAGCAAATAATTTGAGTAAAGAGAGAGCAGAGGCATCACTATTCATATGCTTAGGGTGCTAAAAGCAAGTGTTAAGCAATGATTTGGTAGATTTGACTAGAAAATACAATGAGGAGGATGAGGCGTTCAACTGTGGGAAGAAATCATTTTCGTGGGAGAAAGTCAAATTTCAGTGTTACCGTGCTGAAAAAAGTCTTGAGATCCCAGGTAATAAACGAGTCTCTTCGTAAACTCAGAGGACTCGTAACAGCAATCACCGTCCACTTGGAGGTACGTCGTTTCCCTGAAACTACGTTATGACTTAATGACCTTGGTTGCACCCATCAGCCTCTCAGCCTCGAAACGCCTTCACCCAAGGCAACATGTTTCGCATATGTTCGGAAGGTACGTGCTCGAGTTTTTCAGTGGCATTCCTTGCTTACAAGAAACCCCTTTAGCGTTGACCGGTCATGCGGACCTCCCGCTAATTCAGCGCAGTATCTTCGCGCTCGCATTACAATCGCATCGATTACCGACATCGGTAAGCAGGAAATTCTAGATCAAACACTGTCTACCTGGATGTACGTCGTTTATCTGAAACTACGTTGTGAATGACTGACCTTAGTTGCACCCACCAGTCTCTCAGTGGCGAAAGGCCTTATCTTGTTGCTCGAAAATAGAATACAATATAGAATAGATTATATACTAGAATATGCTACTTACAACCATTTACGTAGAGGCCCAAACACCTTCCCAAATAGAAGGGAACACACTAGAGGCTGAAATGCCTTTCCAAATTGAAGGGAACACACAAGTGACCTCTTTCTCGGGAGGTATGTGCTCGTTTTTTTCAGTCGTGTTACTTGCTCACTTGAAGAAATCCCTTTAGCCTCGACCAATCACCCTGACCTCCCGCTCGAAAATAGAATAGATAATAGTTGAAATTATATACGCAGAACTCGGATCTATGCTTTCCAACATGTATAGGCTGCACTCTCGCCTTACCCCATGTGCGGCACTCACAATGTAAGTCTTTCGGTCGACCGGCTGTATTACGCGCTCAACCCACCATTCAGTCTGGGCTACTAACCCTAATATGCATGCATGGCCCTCCACACTGTCCAAATTTCGAAGGTCGTCAGGGCTGTCGCATTGCACGTGATCACACGCACACAAATATTTAACCAGCTCACACCCACTGGGAGGAACTTCCTTCCACCGCGACTTATTTGAACAAGCCACCAAGGGCTTCCTAATTCACTCTACAGTATGCCTCCCCGCGCTCCCAAACAAAAAGACCGAGGTTTGGCAGGTGGCGGATCTCATTCCACGAAACCCCCTGTAAGTCAATCACCCTCCCTCCCCGACCGTGTACCGACGTGGCACATGTCACTTAGGCTTCAAAGGCCAAAGAAAGGTCAAAGAAAAACAAAAAGCCGGAGCCAAATCTCTCCAAAAAGGTACGTCGTGCAGCATCTATATAGTCACTATCTCACTAATAATTTATAAGCAGGCCACCAACAGCGACGCTGACACGCATCAAGTCCTCGAATGCGTCTTGATATCGACCAACAAATCCCGTGATGACGTGCGATGAACCTCGGACAGGCAGAAGCATGGCTGAGGGCAGCAGCTGGCAAAAGAAGGTTAGTTGCTCACCTTATTGTTTTATCCGTCGTGGAATCAGACTTTAGTCGTTTCCTGATTGTCAGACTTTATGTCGACAACCCCGCTCAACCAGACTTTAGTCGGTTGGGCAGCGGCGGCCTCGGAAACATAAACTAACTTCATTTAAACAGTGTCCAGGATTCCGTCCCTGCTTTGCCTGACAACACGGATGACATTGTCACTATGTGAGTTGTTTCCGCTGTAGATTACATTAGAACAATCTCATAATAATTTTAGGATATCTGCCACGGAGCCTGATGCTCCAGTTCCACCATCCAACTCCCTCTCCTCAGCCACTGCAGAAGGCATGAATGACGAAGACGAAGACCCTGGTCGCCCACATCTGCCACCACACATCGAATTGATATCCCTCGGCCACTTTGACGACATCAAGATCGCTGCCTTGAATGGCGCACTCAAAGGCAATACTCGTTACCGATTCGCCTTTACAGAAGGGGGTTATCGCAGCTACCACGGACGTCGCCCCAAGAGAGGGGGCCGCTCTGCAGCGGACAATCGGACGACCATGTTGGACGAAGAAACAGGATTTTGGGTCCCAATCCCAGCGAATTACACGGCCCCTCACACGCCAGAAGATCTCATTGAGGCAGAGAACGACATACGCATTCAGGATCGTCGTTGCATCGCATATGTCCACCCAGAGACTCGCAAAGCCTTCAAGGAACTCAATGCCTCTCGTGAGCCCGGCGATCCGGAGATCCACCCTCTCCACGTTTATGATATTTCAGAGGGGGAAGAGGCGGCCTACAAGTTCCGAAAGCCCTGGGAGGAGGGCCACAGCAGCTACCAAGGCTCCTTACCTCAAGAAGGTGCCCAAAATGCTGCAGATAGGCGTACGGAAATGTGGGACAACGAAACACAGATGTACCGCATGCTCCCTGCGGGTTACACAGCCCCACACGACCCCCAGGACTATGTTGACGCTGTCAACCATGAACTGGCTCAAGCTGAGCAGCATCGTCGCTCCACAATTATTCTTGCATGTCGCCAACTTCGTCCACGTAAGGAAGAAGGGAAGAAGGAGAAAGTCACAGCATTAGAGGACTGGGAAGCCCCAGATCCCATGATCGAGAGCGACGTCACTGGGTCCGATTATGAAGAGGGACGGCGTGAGGAAGAAAAGATGAGGGACTGGCATAAATCAAGGGGACAGTCGGTTACGGACACTGAAGAGGATGACACGAAGATTGACGAGGAAGATGCCGAAGAAGAACCAGACTTGGAGCGCGAGGAGGAAGAAGCGCGTGAGGAGGAAGAACGGCGTTCCAAAGGCAAGAAACCTTTGGTTACGGACACCGAGGAGGAAGACAAACGTGACTTGGAGCGTGACGAGCAGGAAGAAGCGCGATCCAAAGCCGCTCGCCTTTTGTTATCGACAATGAAAACAGAAGGGAAAGTACACACCTCATCCGCCCACTGGAAGGACTTAACGGTGTCATACACACCTTCCCAGTTGGACGCCGCATCTGTCTTGAGCAGCTATGGACTCACATTGATCCCCGACGCCCAGGTTTCTTCGACAAAGCCTTCACTCCTGGAAACGGCATTGTATCCGATGTTCGGCCACGTCGTCTGGCAAGTCGTACATAGGTTGGGCCATCTATCTCTATGGCCGTTCTTCAGACTTCGCCATGGAGAAAGCGGGTCTTCTGCACAAAGAGAAGCGAGCTCCAAACCGCTACAACCTGTTCAAAACTTTTGCTAGCAGGACGAAACCAGAGGAGGGAGATCACGGTTAGTCTTCGTTTTACCTTCTTGAACCCGCTTCCTCATATAATATGATTGTAGAAGGCCTCCAGCTCTGGAACAGGGCCACGAATGAGGAGTACAATAAGCTTATGGAAGGAGTGACAACAAAAGAAGAGAAAGATGAACAGATGCAGGAGGCCATTAGTTTCATCAAGAATCAAGTCAACGAAGAAGGGACCAATGTCCGTGACGCGAACCTTCGCTTCGCGTCTCACATGAAGGAAATTCGCGATCTTGTACGTCTGATTGGTTTGTTCATCACATTCTTCTTACATACACCACTTCTTTTACAGATCACCAATATCAAATGTTGCGACAAATCTTTCGACATTGCTGGTATCTTGGTCTACAGCGGCAGAAATCTAACGGCGCGGAACAAGACGGCTTTTTTCATGAGTTCCGAGGACCTTCACGCGCTCTGCACCCGTGAGGAGTGGCCAATGGCCACCTTGACGGACATCTTTGTTAGCAAAGTCCGGTGCGTTGTCCCCCTTTCATGTTATGGGTTTTTGTCTCACTTGTGCTGCTACAGTGCTATGCATGCGGACCAGCAAATTAAGCAGTTGATGGAGGAACTAAATGTGACTCCCTCGACTACAGCTAGCTCCTCAACGGCTCGCGCCCGGACCAGCCTTGCATCTGCTTTGAAGAAGGAGGCTTCTTCGGATAAGGATGTGCTACCTTACACGAAGGAATGTCAGAAACAATTCACGCGATTGTTTCTTGATCTTTTGAGTAATATTTTGTTTTGTTCAGTGATTAACAGTTATTGATATGATATTCAGATGGGTGCTTGGCTGAAAAGGATCGACGCACGTCGGCCCCTTGGACCACGTGGCCCAATCTCGCCTACCAATTCAAACTGGTTATCACAGGTTGGGATTCTGCTATGGTCGACATAGCCTTCTGCCCGGGATTTGCACCTACCAAGATCACAAGCTCTCAATGGAAGCACCTATCGACTCTGATTGTAAAGAAGCTCTTGGTGGTGAAGCCCTGGTCTGACGGTAAGTTAGATAACATTCTGTTGACTTACATCTGTCTGAGTTGTTTTTTTAGAGCAAAGACTAATCCCAGAGAGTGAAGCTTGCTTCGGCGAGATCCCTGTCATTATTAACTCCGAAGGTCTTCCAATGGTCTTCATCAAAGACTCGACTAAATGGGTCCGTCACAATTGCTCTATTTCGGCCCCAACGAAGAAGCACGATCAGAAAGGTGATACATCTTCCCCTGTCAGTTCTTTCCCTTCGTCTCCGGTGTTGTCCACGAAGAAGCGATCACATGACACCGCCATGGCCTCGCCTGAAGAAGAACTCAAGCACAAGTCCACAAGAAAGTACTGCCCTCTGCCGAAACAACCAGAAGTGGAACCTCCCACTAAACGCCAACGTCATGTCTCCTTCACCTCCCTTCCCGATAACATGTTTTATACCAAACTTCGACGAGCTGAACATCCAATCTCCTTCTTTGACCCACTCAAGAACCAGAAAACACCGGCTTCATCGTCTCGTTCAGTCTCTCAACCCTTCGCTAGTTCTTCAGGTCACGTTGCCTCATCATCTCGATCAGTATCTCAGCCTTTTGCTAGTACTTCTGGCCATGCTCGTGTTTCAGGCAAACATGCTGGGCCAGGGAAGAACTCTCAAGATTCAGTTGCTAACTAGGTCATTGCTTTCATGTTAAGTCCTTTTGGACTTATTTTTCTTCCATCTAACTTGGTTGTTGTGCTGCTTGTTTGGTATTTCCTAAGTCCTTACTTATGTCCATTCACACATCTGACTTGTTCATTTGTAGCTGTGTTCCCGATTTTGCCTTTGCACATACATCATTGCATAAGTTATGAGTCCTTACGAGTTTACGAGTAAGACTCATTCTTTATCAACTGAGGACTTAGACAAATTTTTCATTGATTCATTCATTCATTGATTTACCTTTCATCACCGCGGGAACCTTTTCTCTTAAGGAGAGAAGCAGCCATAAAATCAGGAAAAATGGCAAATAAATTGGCCAAAAATGTGTAGAAAATCAGAATATTGCTTAGTAAGTTGGAGAGGCTGTGTTCAGGGTTCAGGGTCCATATCCAAATATAGAAAGCTGTCTGAAAAATGGAAACAGATAGGTTGAGAAGCAGTGCAAAATAAGTGAAAAATAAGCATGGTATTCACCATTGCCATGATCATGAATGGGCTGTGTTCAGGGTTCAGGGTCCATCTCTAAAAATAGAACAAAGCCAGATAGATTGTATAACATGATTACAAAATATGCCAAAAAAGGGAAGAAAAATCGGAATGATATTTGCTGTTGTCATGATATTGAAGGGGCTGTGTTCAGGGTCCATATCTAAATATAGACAGAAAAAAAAACAACTCAGAGAAAACAGCTGGAAAATGAGGAAAAAGTGAAGAAACTTGTACACAATAATTTAGCTATATTTGGGCAGACTCCCATATTTGGAAGTGTATCCTGGACCCTGAATACAGCCTCTCCAATAGTATAGCAACATTAAATATCAGAAATGTGATTATATCATCTGACTAGCCTTCTTTCTTATGCAGATATTGGTCAAAATACATGACTATTTTCAAAAAGTGTCCAATTTTTTCAGTATTTTGTGTTTTTCTCATAAGGAATGATCTGTGTGACATTATTTATATATATTTGTAAAGCTAAGCAAAGTGGCTACAATTGTTGTTAATAAAGCTAAGTGAGAGGCTGTGTTTCTGGTACTGTGGGAAATTTGACCCAAAAAGGAAACTATTGACAGTTTTATAGAGCATGCTGTTATATTTCTCAATGTGGTCACAAAATGTGACTAGCTATCTTCTTTCCTGAGATATATGCAAAGACACCTATTTATTCATGTTTTTTTATGTTTTTCTCAATAAGAAAATCATCTGGTCATATGATTTCAGTACATTTAGAAATGTATAAGAAGAGGCTATAATTTATGAGTCCTTACGAGTTTACGAGTAAGACTCATTCTTTATCAACTGAGGACTTAGGCGAATTTTTCATTCATTGATTCATTTACCTTTCATCACCGCGGGAACCTTTTCCCTTAAACAGAAAAGCAGCCATAAAATCAGGAAAAATGGTAAAAGAAATCAGCAAAAAATATGTAAAAATCAGAATATTGCTTAGTAAGGTGGGGAGGCTGTGTTCAGGGTTCAGGGTCAATATCTAAATATAGAAACCATCTAAAAGTTGCCAGAAAATCAGAAAAAAATACCCCAAAATTAAGAGTGATCTTCTCTGTTGCCATGGTGTTGAAGGGGCTGTGTCCAGTATTCAGGGTCCATATCCAAATATGGAAATAAAGACAACCATGTAAAAATATTGTCATATCATGCAATGTGACTATATCTTGAGACCAGCTTTCTTGCTCTTTGCACTTCAGTCACCCACTAACAACTGACTATTAGTCTTGCAAACTCCATGAATACTACGGGACTAAATGTCAGGGTGTATATCTATATTGTATATATCCTGGGGCTTGTATATCTCTACTTTACCTAAATATATTTTGAACTCCAATGTCACACCAAATATATTTGTAGTGTGTCACACACCCCAAAATATATTTCTTCACTGAGATCGACTCCAAATATATTTCTTATGCCTGGACCCTGAATTGTGACTGTCACAATGTAGAAATATATTTCTGGTCTGGGATGGACTTAGGATATATTTTGCTGCTGGGGTTGACCAAGGATATATTTCTTCAGCCACTAGGGGTGTTTGGGGTCCCAGTCCCTAAAAAAAACTTGTGATTTTTCTGCCATGTGAGACATATATTCTAGGTAATTTTCCTATTAATTTTAGAGTCTTAGCCACCATCTGGAACTGTGTTTCCTTGACTATTTGGACGATATAGACCACTATAATGGCCTACATGAAGGCTACAACAGTCTGACTGTCCATCTTTTCTTGCACTTGAACATTGTGGATTGAAACTCTTGAAAGGCAGGCCTATGACTTGAGCAGGGAACATCACAGATCAAAATTGTTAAGTTGGATGACTATGACTTGGGCAATGATCATTGTAGTCACAACTGTGTTTTAAGTTGGTGAACTACATTTTGGGCGATGAACATGCATGAAAATGGTTTGATAAGAACCATTCAGGTTGGAGGACTATGACTTGGACAAGAATATTGTAGATTTAAACCTTTCAAGTTGGGGAAATATGACTTGGGCAATAAACATTATTAATTAACACTGTTCAAGTTGGATGACTATGACTTGGGCAATGAACAGGTCAGGTAGATTGTATGAGTGGTGAAACAACCAGATCTTGTGACTTGTGTCTAAAATGCAGCTGAGAAACCCATCTGTAATGTGGTGGACTGTATCAATAGTCATGCAAGGCATAAGATTGATGCTTGCAATGGCAACTTCATACTTGATTTCAGCTTTGGCAGCAGGAAAAATCTGGCAGG